AAGAGAAAGTGAAAAATAAAATCAGTGCTTCGAGTACTAAGATAATTGGTAATGATAGGTCAAACAATCAGCATAATTGAGCGAATTTTTTTTTTAAATTTTGCAACCACCTTTTTTGCTACAGGTGGTATAGGTCTTATGGTTTAAGCCTGGATTAAGCTGGATTCTTAGCTCCAAACAAATGACTTCAAAACATTTAACAGTCTGAAAAGAAATCTTTGTACTAGAGTTTGTGTACCTGCTTCAACCTGAGCCAGCAAAAACAGGAAGAGAAAGGGCTTGTAGTATCTGGAAACCCAAAAAGCAGTCATGTGGAAATGATCCTCTTTAGTTAGCCTCAGTGATAGAAACTTGGGATATTGTCTCAGTAGCCAAAATGATCCACCTTCAAAGTCTTCTCTGTACTTCTGATGTGTAAACAATTTACCTTCTTTAGTTATTACCACTGTTTGCTTTTTGGTTCTGAAGACTGACTCAGAGGAGGCCAGTGTCCTTGAAACTATAATCCAGAATTAGGCTGCTTGATTCAAATCCCATCCCCCACCACTCACTGACTGGGGGGCTTGATCAAGTTTTCCCCCTTTTCTGTGCTTCAGATTGTCACCTGTAAAATGAGGATATTGACAGCTGTGATGAAAATTTTAATGAGATAATCATCATCTAGCACACATAACTTGATATGTGTTAATACATAGTAGCTCTGCTACTATGAGGAGTTTGCAATGCATTTCTATCAAAGAAGCTTTTTTTTTTTAATGATAATACATTATGAAATGCCCTATATATCAGAAATATCATATTATTTTCAGCTCCAAACATTAAAAGAGTGAGATTTCTTGCATATAATGCAAGTTGTGGATTATATTCTTGTCTTTAAGTAGATGCCTAAATTTAGTTGTCATACTTCTAAGGAGTGAAATGCTTATTCATCGAGTATATTTTCCTATGCCTATGGAACTACAAATGTATCCAATGAAAAGTAAGAAGAGTATCTATGAAAAAGAGAAGAATGTAAAATAGTATATAAGGGCAAGGAAACAACATGAAAATGACTTCAGTATATCTGCACATCCAGAATGCGAGTTGAATCTGGGGGATGGGGGCACACCACTGGAGTCAGAGAAATTTAGCTGAGTCATTGACCAAACAACCCATCAAGAAAGCAAACGGCTTGGTTTTGGCCAACTTAACGGAAATAAACTCCAAGTTTCTTGCTTCTGACCAGAAACTATGATTATCATTCCATTTTCATGAAGCTGTGGCCACAGGGAAATTTGTGTTATTAGAATGCAAACTAATTATTGGTTTCACATGTTGCAGTTTTTATACTTTAGCTACCTATCCTAGTTTATCTAGTATGTGTATATTTTCTTTTTAAATTTTCCATGTCTTGTTCTCTCCTTTAGTTTTTCTATATCTATTGCCATCTAAGAAAAACATCTGAGAGGCACACACAAAACTCTAGTCATAGAAAAATCAACTGCTATATTAGTTTTCAAAAAGAGAGAAAAAAATACTTATGGGTTTATCGCTAGTAGAATGAAAAAAATTGAAGCCACATTATAATTTGAAAAAGCAGAGAAAATATAGCAAAACATGGCTACATGGTGAAATGCAAACATGGGGACCCTTTTGCAAAAATTTCAAGAAGGTGAGATTAGACCATTAATCCAAACTAGGGGTTCTTTGCAGATGCCTGTGGTGACTGCCCAGGGCTTATTCACATAGGGGTGGGAACCTAAGGGTAACTCCTTTATGTTGTCAGAATAATCTGTGCTATCTAGGCTTCTTAAACCTCATGCTCAGTTTAAGGAGGAGAAAATTTAACTTTTATTGTCATCTGGTGTGAATTTTACCCTGATCTGATAACCTACTTTTACATAGTCTATCTTTTTAGGAAAAGGAGCCTAGCTTCTCAGTCTCTTTTACCTGTTCTTCCCTTGGATACTGTAGTGGTAGGAAGGCACAGGACAGGTTTTCTACGATCCTATGCAGAGGTAAAGGAGATGAGTCCTGGAGTCCTCGGTGGCTTTTTTATTCAGTTTACTAGGTACACAGCAGGCAGAGGTGGGGGTGGGGGCGAGAGACCCTCCCAGCCCCCAGGGAATCTTCACTCTTCCTGGGCTCTCCGGCCTTCTTTCGTGGCCTCTGCTTCTGTGCTGGTTCTCTTCCGGTCTCTCTTTCGCTCTGCTGGCATCCCCGTGGCGCTGCCCTTATAAGACCAGTCTCTCAGCCCAGGTGTACCCACTGACGCAAGCCCACACCCTATTCCAGGTTTCTGTCAGCAGACAGGCATTTAATCTAATGGCAGGAGGGTGGGAAAGCCTGGTACTTTACTCACCCTACAGACACGCTAAGAATTTTTTGGAGTGTACTTGTAGGGGCAGGAAGGACACTGAGCAGGTTTTCTGATCCAACAGACCGTGTAAAGGAGGAGTCAGAGTCCTCAGTGGCTTTTGCAGGCTTTTTATTTAGATTTACCAGGCACACGGCAGGCCGTGGTGCTGGGGGGCCGGGAGACTGGTAGTCCTCCCAGCCCCCAGCAAATCCTCACTCTATCTGGGCTCTCAGGCCTTCTCTGCTTCTCTCTCTGCTTCTGCTTCTCTTTGGGCTTCTGCTGGCGTCCCCGTGACACCGCCCTTAAAAAGCCCAGTCTCAGCCCAGGTGAATCCCATCTACCTATGCCCACACCCTACTCCAGCTGCCGGCTATCAGGCATGCCTTAGGGACCGCAAGGATCCATCATCTATCCATCATCTGTCCATCTATGGTGGGAGGGCAGAAAACCCTGACGCTTTTTACCTTACCCTACAGTACTGAGTGGAGTGTGTCATTGGAGAGGGAAGAACTAGGGCTTCTGACCCAGTGGCTTCCAATGCTTGGGATCTTGCGGCATTAACAAAGTTAACCAAGGACAAAACAAGGGCATGTACGTTTGCTCTCCATCTACGCTATCATTGCTTTGAAATTTATAACCTAGTCAGGGATGATAGTTTTTCTGAGGTTTTTTTTTTTATATTTTACAGTATCTATTATTTGTTTTCAATGAGTTCATTTCTTCTTCTGAGACAAAAACACAAAACGGTAAAACCCTATCTAAATTTGAAATCACATGTGTGACTTTCTATTTAAAGGAACTCTGCAAAGAACCACTTAAGTTAATTTTCTAAAAAGATACATTTAGACCGTTGTTCCTCCTTGTTTCTTTGTGTTCTGACAGACTCCAAAGAAAAGACATGAATGCATCCAATAGGGAAGCATCTATACCCGGTGGAATTATTGGTAATTTTTATTTAAAATGTTCCCCTCTACTGGTTCTCTCCCACATTCATTGAAAACATATAAGAATTTCCCATCTTAAAAAACAAAACAAAACAAAATACAAACAAAATTAGTGTCTGGTCCAGGATTTGCCCCTGGCATCTGGTATCACAGAAACTATCTGCTTCAATCAAGTAGTGGGTGAATCATCTCAGGAGCAGCTGGGTGAAATGACCTGAAAAGCGAGTTGAGAGGAGGACTTGCTACCCACTGGGCCCTTCACCAACCTGTCCTACCTCAGGGTTCTTTCTTGGAGGTAAAGACTGGTGTTGAGGCTCCTTTGAGCTCCGGCTGCTTAGAGTGAAAGGTTTCATAATTAAATGTTTTATCGTAACTGCTCACTTATGCAGAGAAGCAGAGTATAAATATGGTTAAAGATAGTGAAAGGGGCACTATAATTTTAAAAATAAAATGCTGACAAAAAATCATGAGGAAGTGTAAAATTATTTTAAATTAAAAATGCGTGCTTGGGCCTCCCGTGGTGGCGCAGTGGTTGAGCGCTGTGCTGAGAATCTGCCCGCACCTTCTGCAGCGCCGGTTCGTTTCCCGGCCGCCGGCGAGGGTCCCACCAAAAAAAAAAAAAAAAAAAAAAAAAGGGAAAAAAAAAAGAAAAAAAGAAGAAAGAAAAGAAAAAATGTATGCTTTTAAATATAGTGAAAATTACTATATTCATACTAATATTGTTTTGTATTTTTTGTATTAGTCAATTCTTGAATAAAGGAAAACATGCTTGAATAAAAAATCCTAATATATTAAGGAAATTTCTCTTCTTCTTGGACAAGTAATGTTTTCTGAGCAAGACACAGAACTGTACTTTAATATTTTAGACGTGATTCTCATATCGTGTAAAAAGCTTGTAAGTGTGTCTCTAGGGAATTGTGGAGGGCATAATTGTCATACAAATAGTCTTGGCATTACTAGGCTATGCATTCCAACTATTTGGCTTCAATAGTTCCATTATTACCTCCAAGAGTATGAATCTATTTTTTAAACTCTAATTATATGTCAGCATCTTTTTGCAAATTTGTATCAGATTTAGGATTTGGAAATATGACTTTTATATTGATTTCAGATGTGCAAATTTTTAATTTATTTCTCAATTATTACACATGGTTGTGTTAGATGGTGGTTTTATTCAATTTTTGATCACTACTGCCATCTAGTGGTAAACCTTAAAAACCTCCTCCTAAGTATTTATAAAGATGTTAAGAAAATTTGGAAGTATGTGGTATACAGAGAAAATAGATTAACTAAAAAAAACAATAAACTTTTGAGCTATAAACCATTTGGTGTTTACAAAAGGCAGAAGGGGGAGAGGGGGCGGTAAGTCGGGAGAATGGGGACAGTTGTGTGGTAAAGGATACCCGTGAACTTTTCATGGTGACCTTAAATGTTTCATATAAACATGTTGATTCTCAACAATGAACACCTGAAATAGAAAATGTTACAATACATTGTTACTTCAATAAGATTAAAATAAATTAAAAAAATTAAAAATGTATAAGAACTAGAAAATATGTTCTATTTTTCCAGAAGGTTTACTAACCTAGCCCAGAAGACATATTGTAGGCGCAACAAGTACAGAAAATATTTTGGAAAGAATAAAAAAAATCAAACATCAGGAAAACATACACTGTAGAAAGAATAATGGTTTTACATAATTTAAATAATTTCTTTCATATTTATTACTTTTATCTGAAGTAAGGCAGTAGAAAGCTGACATCCATTTTCCTTAAAGCAGTTGTACACGGGCAAGATTAAGAGAGCATAGATTTTCAGAGGTCACATCATCCTGGTCCCTCTTCTCATTCATACTTCTTAAAAGAATTCTCCTCAGTGGTTTTTCTTCTGCATTCTTGTTTACTCCTCACCACTGTGCTGAAATGACCCTGATCAATTAGAAGTGAATTTATCAGTAAAGAAAATAACCATTTTAGTTCTGTTTTTCAACAAATACAATAAACATTTAATCCTTATTTCCCTGGCTTCATGGTGGCATTTGTCTGTTCTATATTTCCCCTCCCCCCTTGGCTTCAGTCCTCTGGTCTCTCCTGGTTCCCTGTGTATTACTTTTCCAAGGGTTTCCCTTCCTTTGCCTGTTTGTTCAGCGCTACTGGTTGTCTCGGCCCATTCAGGCTGCTATAACTAAATATCATGGACTAGGTGGATTATAAACCACAGAGATATATGTCTCACAGTTCTGGATGATGGCAAGACTAGATTCAGTATCTGGTGGGGACCTCTTGTCCACATCATGGGCAACCATCTTTTCTGGACTACAGAATGGTGGAAGGCTGAGGGGATCTCTCTGTAGCTTCTTTATAAAGGAACAAATACCACTCAGTACAGTTCCACCCTCATTTTCTAAGTATTTCCCAAAGACCCACCTCTTCATAACATCACCTTGTGGATTAGATTTCAGCATATGAATTTGTAGGGGGACGCAAGTTTTCAGCATACAGTATCAGTGTGTCTCAGGTGTTTTTTGTGGGTTTTTTTTTGTGCAGAAGAGCAGGGGGGTAGGCCAAAAGTATGGGGCATGGAAGGATCCACCAGAGACAAAGTAGAGAGCAGAGCAGGTAGATTTACCGAAATACACTGCTGTATTTACTGAAATACACTGTCTCACACAGCAAGTGAGACAGGAGAGGTCTGCTGCACCATGTGGGCTAGCTCCATGGCCAGTATTGCTATCCCCATGGAGGCGATAGCACTGAGATTCAACCCCTAGGCCACCAGGGAGGCCCATGACTCAGGTTTTACACTTGGTTCAAAGTGACCACATGATATCATCCACATGTATAGTTTTACCCTCCTTCTGTATTTTGATGAGCTTCAAATCTAATGTGTAAGCACTGAATTCCCAAAGCTCTAAGCTTGTCCACCTTGTGATCTATTGAACACTTGGATGTCCCCTGGGGAATTGAAACTCACCATGTCTGCACTTGCCATCTGAAAATGAATGTTAGCCCTGATGAAGAAGTGAGCTGTTTGTGAGACAGGAATAGGCATGGTGACACCTGACCAAGAATTCCATAGCTGTCCTGGTAACAAACAGAACTGTAGTGAGGGCACAGACTACTACCAATGCTTGTCTTTGGAGTGGAAACAAACCAACAACAGGAAAAAACAAAACAAAACAAAAACAAAACCGAAAAAAACACAGCAACGTTTACCAATAGAAACATTTCCATTATAAGCTATCAATACAAACACACAGCTTCATACAGAACTCAGTCTGGCAGAAAGCATCGCCATCCTGGGATGAATGAGTCTTCCTGGCCTCAGTGCTGCAGACTCTTGGGTTGCCCAGAGCGGGGTCTAACTCTAACAAGAAATTTTCAAATGGTTAAGAACATTAGCATCAAACTGATATAATGAGAAGAAATGAAAAGAGAATATTGAAGCTGGAAATGTAAGGGAGGGGAAAAAAGCATTCATAAATTATATAGAAATCAAATAATGATTCAGTTACAGTTTTACAGTGATTCTTGAAATTTATTCCCAAAGACTAGTGAATTTTCTTCACTATAAACATTTTCTACTTTTTCAGCTGTGAAGAGATTAAAAAATATGCATGTGTGTGCACATACATATATGTGCATGTACATACACATGCATGGGCTTTCTATTGTCCATTCTTGAAAAAAAAATTGCAAAACAGATACCTAGGAATACTTGGTATGTACTTATTTCTATTTATATATTTTTTAGAAGTAAATAATCACACATTATTAGGAAAAGATATATTACCTTCTATGATATCATTTCTCATCTCATTCTCAGTATATATCACTTTGTATTTTTTTAAATGTGGTTTTTAGAGACTGTTCAGCACACAGACGTAGGGAATAGGTACATGCATGCATATACCCACATGTCTATATTTCATGCCTATCTCTGTGTGTTTACTCTCTTCATAGATAAATGCATATATAGGTTGATAAATAGATACAGATAGATAACCAGAATTGACAGATGATACGTATAGATAGTATGCAGGTGTTCATCTTTTATTTTTAATACCAACTGAACAGACTCCACATGGTTTAGTCTATCTTGCCACTTATACTTCCCTTTGCTGACATACAGTTCTGATTTTTATTATCTTTCAGGGATGTTTTGAAGTTTCCTTCTTTTTTTTTTTTAAAGATTTATTTATTTATACAAGCACTGGGTACAGTCAGAAGCACGGGAGGGTGAGAGAATTCACCAGAGCCAGAGCGGAGAGCAGAACAGGCAGACTGATGAAGTACACTGCTGAGGGGAGCAGCGGGCGGCAGGAGAGGTCTGTGCACCATGTGGGACCCTCACCTGGTGGCCGGGGCTCGAACCAGCGCTGCAGGGGCTGCGGGCAGCTTTGCAACCTAGAGCTCAACCGCTGCGCCACCGGGGAGGCCCTCTTTCTTTTTTTTTTAATTTATTGATTTATACAAGATCTGGGGTACAGGCCAGAGGTGTTGGAGTGTGAGAGGATTCACCCAAGACAGTGCAGAGAGCAAAGCAGGCAGACCAACCAAAAGCACTGCTGAAGGAGCCAGCGAGGGAGACAGGAGAAGTCTGCAACGCCATGTGGATCTCTCCCTGGCTGGAATAGAACCCACACTGCAAAGGCTGTGGACAGCTTCACAGCGCTGCCCTCAACATGCTGCGCCGCCGGGGAAGCCCCTACTTCTATCTTTTAAACTGGATGTCTAATTATTTTATTTTTTTTATTGTTTCTGCAAATGAAATTTTCTCTTTTTTCTCTACCCGAGTGTTGTTTCTGTATATGAAAGATATGGTGTGTGTGTGTGTGTGTTACAGCTATGTTGCTACCTTGTTTTATAATTGATTTTCAAGGATTTGCTATGTATATTATATCATCTGCAGTAAAAACAGGTTTACTCGTTTCTCCAATATTATATTTCTTTCATTTAACTGAATTTTTAAAATATTTCCTGCATATTGTTAACATAAAACAAACCTTTGTTGGTCCCTCGCTAGGTGTTTACCCTCACAAATGTATAGATAAATCAACTGAAACTTGGAAAGAATAGGTTAGGATTCAATATAGCTTCCTTTGCATCTTCACCTCAATTTAAAAAAAAAAATCTTTACTGCAGTCTTCTTTAAGATATTGGAATTGTAGAAATGTGTCTACATGGAAAACTATTGCAAATGTCAGTATGTTATGACTTCCAATTTTATTTCTGAGCATAGAAACTTTCTCTGTGTGATTTGGCTTTTATATCTGCGAGGCTCCCATTTACTTCTGTGTAACAACACACAGAATGGAGATGTTCGGCTTTGCTCTCAGACACATCTGGGGCATTTAAAAGTGTCTTTTCTTGTTGCTGTTTTTTTTTTTTTAAAGATTTATTTATTTATACAAGACCTGGGGTCCAGGCCAGATGCAGCGGAGGGTGAGAGGATTCACCAGAGACAGAGTGGGGCACAGAACAGGCAGACTGACAAACTGCTGTCGGGAGCAGCGGGCAAGACAGGAGAGGTCTGCTTCGCCATGTGGGATTCTCACTGGCAGGCCGGGATTGAACCCGCGCTGCAGAGGCTGCAGACAGCTTCATAGCGCTGCGCTTAACTGCCTGTGCCACCGTTGCTGTTTATATTGTTTCTGCTCCTTTTGGGTGTTATCATGTGTAAATGTTTGAGAATAAGAATAAAATGCTTCAAAACTGTATCATTTTTGCCTTTAAAAAGTTACTTTCTCCATGCATGCATAGCTAATGGGTTCTTATTATTCATTTAATTTGAATTCATTTAATTGACACTTACTACAACTAGAATCTTGTTTAATTCTGATATTATTGAGGTGAATGCAAGGAGTGTGGTGTCTCTTGATATGCTACATTATTATCAAGATTAGACTGTCAGCTTGAGCTTCGCTTTCTGTTTTTAAATAAATATAAGATATCTATGAACACATCCCAAAAATTTGACCCTCACCAGAGCTAAATTGATTCTTGGAAGCTTGTTAAAAGCATTTTATGTTCAATGACACATTAACTCTATTACTTTAGACCTATGGTTCTCAACAGTGGATCTCTGCTATTATTATAACTTAGTTTCTTAAAATTCTTAGAGTTTACAACAACTGAAATTAAATTGTTTTGTTTGTTATCACACATTAATATGTCTCCTTCATTAAAATGCAAGCTGTATTATTTAAAAGTGAATTAGCTCCTAATATATCAATAGTTACTGGAAGGAGTATGGGTTCTATAAATACTATAGAAAGGCCTGTTCTGAGATTTTTATTGCTGTGTCCACCTAAAATTGTGATTTTTATTAATTTATTTACACATTCAAAAAACATTTATTTAACATCTATTAAGAATGAGACACTGTTCAGAGGGTTTGAAACACCCATTATGAAGATAATGTCAGCCTTGTGGCTTTTTTATATGTCACAGCAAGGTGGGGAATTTTACATCAGACAACTTGACCGTCTAATAAGCCCCAAACCATATTAGTCTCAGTAGTGTGATAAGATGGGAATATCACATTTTTATTTGTTGAGGAATTTTTTTATGACAGACATTCTTAAAATTAGAGCTGTAGAATATAAATTACAACATTGGCTAGTGTAAAACTGTGCCTCTCTTTTCAAAAACATTTTTAGAGTTTTAACTGTGCTTGGAGAGAAGAAATGAAACTCGTTGAATATAAATGTTGCCGTTTTCAACCTGGATTCAACCCATTTTCCTTCTTTCACTACCACTTCAGATGTCTCCATGCTTATAATGTGTATTGTTTATTTTTTATATATCAATTGTGGATAAATAACTCAGGCACCAAAGTGTTAAAATTTTAAAATAGAATAACATGCCAAGTATTCTAGAACGTTTTAGATTGGCAAAATGCTTTTATGTGACACGAGTTATCTAAAATGACTGTAAACATATTCACAATGCACAAACCATGTTTCTTAAAATATACTATGTCCATATACAGATACAGAGAGCCACATAATTTAAACTTAGGTAAAACCAAAAATGCATAATGGATGAAGTCAATCGTCTATATAGTGGTGGAACATTAACGAAGAAATGTGGGTACTGCAAATGGAAGGCCCGCAAAGTGCTGCCACCTAGTGGGGATTTGCTGCAAGCTCCGCGACCATTCTGATAGTCATCTTGGTTTTCTACTCGGTACTTAAACTTTAGTAAATAAATGTGTAGTTTGCAAGGTGTAAAATTTGATATGTGTTGGAAGATTAGTTTTAAAAAATCTTGAATTTATATATGGAAATCAATAATGTTAAAAAGAACATTTGTAAAAGATAGCCTTAAATTTTTGGCTTTACTTTTTGAGGTTGTAATAAATTAGGAAATGGGAAAATCTTAACAATCCTCGTTAAGTATTTTTTTCTTCAAGGGAAAAAATGTGACTTAACTGTTTCTATATTTCTAATATATACTTGTTTACTGAACTGCAATTGTTATGAAATCAATGAAGAATGTTTTATGGGAGATGAGAAATTTCTTGGGACATTTACTTCTTTTCTCATATACAAGAAACCACGTGAAATTAATTCCACTTGTTGTTTCATTACACTTTGTAACCATCTCTCTTCCAATGTGCTGCAGAAAAATTATAAAAGACATTAGTGACAAAATTTTGTACCCGGATATTTTGGAGCAATCATTTCTGGAGTCCAAATATTCTCTGAAGGAATTGTTTCCTTGCAAAGACTGCAGGAAGGTGTCCAGTTTTCGTCTTAGTGAGAATCTTCATAGGAGAGTTGCTATATTCTAAAGGTAAAATACAAACTATGTTTTGAGACAAATGTGCTAGTTTCTTTCCCCAATTGGTAGCAAGGTACACGAGAAAATGAGTGAGGTAATTTTCGCCACTAGATGGCGATATTGTCATTTAGAGGAGAGCAGCGCCTGGCTTCTATTTTTCTGCCCTTAGAATCAAATTATGTATGTCCTCTGTGACCCACAGCTTGCATTTTCCATCACCCCTCCCCCCAACACACACAAACACACAATAGTGAGCTTGTGCTGAAAGGCAAGGAGCAAAACTAAAAGACAACACA